GCTATCGATAGCACGAGACTATAACAAATCCTTGCAAGCAACTAAGTAAAAGAGCGTTTCTTTAGCGGTATAGATCAAAGAACACCGAGCTATCTATAAGTTAGCGAAAATAAACGACCTTTACGAAACGACGAGTATACTCGCGACAAAAGCATTCTTAAAAGCTATTAACGAAAAATAGTCTTTAACTTAAGCGTCGCTAAAGCTCGTAAAAGTCATTCGAAACGATAAGCTATCATTGCTTTAAAAGCGCACTCTTTACGACTACTTTAACTAATACGAAAGCCAAGTCGAAGAAAAGATTAGCAATCCGAACTCTAACTTCTTTAGCGTATTCGCTACTTTCGGAGATCAAACTACTCGCAGCACCTCCGGAAGTAATAAAGCTAACGACACTGCTCTTAAGCAATCCGGTAAACGCTCCGATAGCTTTAAAAGACTTGTTAAAAGCTTTAAGTGCTCGTGCTTTAAAAAGAGAAACCATTATTAAAACGCAATCAAGTGCAAGATCTTTCGCTATTGCTTTAACGATCTTAACGAAAGTAAATTCGCAAAGCCGAACCGAGATAATATCGTCGTTATAAAGAAAAGGCTTTAAGAACTTAAATTTAAAGCGCTTCGAAAAAAGATCACGAAAAAAAGTTAAGCATAGATTCAAGTCGATAAGATCGTCTTAAAAGGCAAAAAAAAGCAATCGAACGATAACGATAAGTCAAAATACTTTAAAAAAGTGTTAATAACTATTATCGATCTCGAGCTCTTTAGCACGCTCGATAATCTTACTTTTAACGGTTTTTATAGCACGGCTAACAATAAGCATTAGCTATTTAATAGCACTCTTCTCGATAATTATAGCGCTACTTACTTTATTAACGATAAGAATCTTTTAAAACTAAAGTCAATTCAACGCTCTCGCTTAACCGACTTCATCGAAGCTAAAACGAGTAGTTTCTTAATCGTCGAGCGAAGTACCAAAGTTTTTAAAAGAGCTTTAAACGAATTAAATAAAGTTAAGATAAAAGATTTAAAGTTAAAAAATATTGCTATCGTCAAAAGGTTTAATATCAATATCATTTCGAAAGCTTTTTTAAGCAAGGCTAGCGTATAATACTCGGGATATAACGCAATTCTCCGTTACGAAAAAGTCAAAGAAAGCGTCGTTTTAAAAAAGTTAAAAAAAAAGTTCAACTTTACGTTCTTTAAATACAAGCTATTTAACTATTCTTTGCCTTAATTGATTCGTAGCTCTTTTTGCTTAATAATATTCTTTACAACTTAAAGGCGCTTGTAAACACGCTACAAATTCTAAAAGAGCAATGTCTTTCGAGCTTTAAAAAAGGATTCATCGATATTCTAGCATTTACAAACAAGTCATCTAAGCAAAGAAGCGCTCGAAGCGCTAGCTTACAATGCTAAAAGAGTAAGACTTAAAAGAATTATTAAGATTAAATATAAAGCATATGCTATTACGCACGCTTAACAAATTATATCTCGCCGCACGTCAGATAATAAAGCAGCTAAGCTATTCTATAAGATCGCTTAAGATCTATTCGACTTTCTTAACAGTTTTAACGAAAGCAAATAATTATTAATAATTAAAAATAAATACAATAAAAAGCTATTCGGCTTTATATTAAAAGACAAGTTGCAATTGACGATTATAAAAGTGCTAAAGGAATTTAAAGTATAAACGAAACGCAAATACGATCTTTTAATAACTATTATGCGCTATAATAACGATTCTTTAATAATCGCAATTAACGTTATCGGCTCTATCGAATATCAAAGATAAGCGAAAGAAGTTAAGATCGAGTTAAAGCTCTTATCATCTTTTAATCACGAACTTAATAAAAAAGCTAAAAGAGCTAAAAGAAAGGTAATAAAACGGTCTATCAAAATAAGAATAAAAGCAAGGCTCCTAGAAAAGCTCTAGCTTAAAACTATATTAGCCGCTATCTACTTCTACAACATAACACCGAAAGCTAAAAGCTCTATAAAGAGTCCGAATGAAGTGCTACAGCTTTAGTTTAAGCAATATTTTAAGTAATACGATCCGGCGATTTTTATACGGATCGATACCGACTTAAGACTAGATTGTAGCGGTTTGGTTGCGTATAGCGCTCGTGCGTATTTAATAATTAAAGACCGAAAAGCTTTTCGCAACAAAAAAGCTTTTAAAATCAAACTAAAAAAACATATAAGCTACTTAATTAAATATATAGCTTCTAATATATACAAAGTCTATGTTCTTATACTTTATAAAGTGATTGTCATACGCAACGTAACGTTCGATAAGACTCAATTCTATTTTAAAAACGAAAAAAAATCGGTCGGCTAATCGATTAGCGAGATTAAGAGAATCGTTATTAAACTAAAAGATATTAAAGACTTTAATTAAACAAAAGACGCTTTATTTAATATAAAGAACGTTATAAAAGATCGCTTAAAAAAGACGAATACAATTGATATAAAAAGTAAGCAGCCGTTAAACTTTATAAAAGTTAATTTAAAAAGATCTAATCAAAGCTTAAAAAATGCGACTTTATTTAATTTAAGCGATGCACAAACGTTAAGAGCTCTAACTCTAATTAAAAACCTTATAAATACGTCTATACTAAAAGCAACTGCTTTACGAAACGATCTAATAAACCTTGACGATTCGAATTATACTGCTAAACGTCTCGCTAACTCTTTAACTAAGAGCAAAAGCGAAAGTGCCTTAAGACTGCTAAAAGCAAAGAAAAGCATCGTAAACGAGCAAAAACTTAGCTTTAATAAAAAAGCGCGCAAATCATACTTTTAAGTTGTTATTTAAAGCCGAGGCCCGGAAAGCTAAGTTATAAGCCGACCAACGAAAGCTTTTACGTTAATAACCGGCGGAAATTCAAACCGAACAATTAAAAAAAAGCTTTTAAACCTTTTTAAAGCGAGCATTAATAATAAGAAATTAAACTATAAACACTTTAAATAAAATTCCGACTTTAATAAAGAGCATTCACTTATTAATAGCCGTATTAAAAAACGCGCGAAGATATACGCAAGTATCAATAAGCTTTTACTAAACAACTTTCGCGCCGATTCGAACCGCTATTCGCGCGTTTTAGATTTTGTTTCGACTTTTTAAGCTAATAGCGAACTCGTGCGCGAAGATAATAAAGATTACGAAACATTGCACGCTATTATAGCAGCTGCTACTTCGTTTAAGCTATTATTAAAACAGCTTCACTCGTAAGAACGGAAACATCTAAAACCTTTTACTTATTAAAAAGAGCTATAACGACACTTATACGGTAAAGAGTTCAAAAACGGAGCTTTTATAAAGTTAAATAATCTAAAGAAAAGGAACTATTAAAAAATGATTTTCGAAAGCGAAGCTAAATCAAAACTTATACCTTTTAAGTAAGTGTTTATATATAAGACTAGCTCGTTCGAAAAGATCGTAAGGTTCAGATCGAAGATTATTATTAAAAGTGACTTTTAAAACGAATTTATTATTTATTTAACTTACGCGGCTACGCTAACAGCTAGATCTTTTAAGATCATAATAGCTATAGCAGCCGAATTTAACTTAAAAGTAAAACAATTCGATATCGTTAACGCTTTTATTAACGTTATAAAACACACGGACAGCGTCTTAATCACGTATTATCTTTTTAACGGTTTTAATTAAAAAAGTATACTTGTAAAAGTCGATAAAGCTTTATATAAACTTAAAGACTCGTTAGCTTTATAGTATTTCGACTTTACAAGCACACTCGACAAATTAAAGCTTATACTACTTGGTAAAGAACCGTGTATTTTTACGAATTTAAACAAAACGGTTTTTATAGCGTTTTACGTAAACGATATTCAAGTCATATATTATTACTTTAATCTTTTTAAAGCGCAAGAGATTATTAACGGTCTTAATAAAGCGTATAAGATCGAAGCGATAAAAGATATTAAATAGTTTTTTAATATAAAAGTCGCTCGAGACCGTTAGCGAAGAACGCTAACGCTTATATACGACGCTTATATTGAAAAAATAGCTAAGAAATTCGAACTTACGGACGGACGCTGCTTAACAACTTTATTACTGTTTTATAACTTAATTAAAAATGAAAAAATAGCTTCGCGAAAGCAAGTGAAAGAATACTAAAAGAAAGTTAAATCCGTATTATATATAACGATCATGCTACGCTTAAATATAGCTTTTGCAGCTTTTTAATTCTCTTACTTTAACACTAATCTAAACGCGGAGCACTTTCGAGCTATAAACTAATGTCTACGATATTTATTTGAATCGCGCTTTAAAAGTATTTAATACAGCCAGTTTAATAAGTCGGAGCTAGTAATAGCCTTTAACGCTTCTTACGCCGATAACGAAAAGATAAAGCGATCTTTTCAAAAGTATATTATATTTTTATTCGAAGATGCGATTCTTTAAAAAGCTTTAAATCAAGATACAATCACTACATTATCTATTAAAGCAGAGCTTCTTAGCATAGCCTTCATAATAAAAAAGACTATAGCGCTTTAACGATTTTTCAAAAAGCTGCACCTTCGATTTGCGGCGCTTTAAATAGTCTACTATGATAATTAACAAATAATCAAGCTTATAATTAGTAAGAAAGAGCGTATCTTTACCAAGCTTCGCTACGTCGATATTCATAATATATAGCTACGCTAAAAGCACTTTAAAAAGAGCTTTCAAGTTCAATATCTCTTTACTAAAGAGATGCACGCTAATAATCTTATTAAGAACTTAACTCGATAGAAGTTTAAAAGCTTTATTAAACTCTTAAATTTATAAGACGCTCGCGCGTCCGTCGAAAAGCTTTAATAGCACGCATATGCTATTCACTTATTACATTTCATTTTTTTTTTATTTGCACGTGATTTAAAGAAAAACATTTATTTAGCAATCTTAACCGTTATTTTATCTTATCTTATACGCTTTTACTTTTCGCTTTTTATAACAAAAGATCGATTAAAGCTTTTAACAATCTCTTTACTTTAGCTTAGCGCTCCGCAAGAGTTATAGCAATAGCGAGCGCCGCCGCAAGAGCGGTAAGCGTAATAACTAACGTAAAGAAAGCGACGATAATAAGTGCGACGAAAGCAGCGAGAGCGACGAAAGCAATAAAGGCGGCTAGCGCAAGCGCAAGGGCTGCTATAGCAGCAGATTAAAGCTTTTGCATAAAGTCCGAAAAGAAGTTCTAATTAAAAAGAGCTGCTTAAATTAAATTATTTCGTAAGTTAAAAAGCTTGATTTACGAAAAAGTGATATGCTCGAAGCGCTCCGCGTCACCGGACTACGGTTCGCTGCCATAAAACTATTCAATCTAACAAAGGCTATATTTAAATTAAAAGTCTTAAAAGCAAAAGCAAAACTTATAAAGCTATCGAGACTACTTTTAAAACTTCTACTTTCATTCGCTAGACCGCTTAAACTATTAGCAGCACCTTTTAAAAGAGCAGCATCTAAAGCGAACTGTTGTCGTATAGCATTTCGGAGACTCTAGCGAACTTTTTATATAGCATTATTATCTTTAGCGCTTACGAAGTTATCGAAAGCGGTGTTAGCAGCGGCAAAAGCAACGGTGCAGTTGCTATAGCTACCTTTAGCATATCGAAGACAGCGTATAACGCTCGTATCGCAATTATAACAGTTTTTATTAGACTTCGATATAATCTTATTATTGATGCACTTGATGCACTTTAAGGCTTTGACGGTCGTTAGCATAAGCAGGCGCTTAATAAAAGGGTTTAAAAGAAAGAGCGAAGCTTCGAAAGTGGAAGTGCGAGGCTCGAAAGTAAGAATGCGAGGTATAACCGCCGCCGCCGCCGCAGCTACAGCAGTAGCGATAGTTAAAGCGGACAAAGAATTCTCTTAATAATCAGCATAGAAATATTAATCTATTAAGAGCACTTACTCTTAGACGGCCTCGGCCGCGCTTAACGATTCTATTAGACTGAGTTACTTGCTTAAAAGGCATTGTGTAAATAAATAAAAGTTAAGTGTTTGTTATAATAGAAAAAAACGCGCTTTCACTTATATAATAACGCAATAAAGACGGCGTTAAAGACCTTCGCCACGTAATAAGACCGACTTAAGAAAGAATTGCATTCTTGATTGATACTCAATTAACAATAACAACCGCTATTTGTTTATTTAAACTGCGATGATAATCTCTTTTGTTTACATCGAGTTTAAAAAGCTTAATCACTTATTTTTTTTTCTTTTCTATTTACTTGCAGCTTAGCAGCTACGCTGCTAACTTAAAAGGTGTATTATGCGGAACAAGCATAGTTTTACTTAAGCTACATGTGATATGTTATATGACCTCGCTTAATAGCGCTCTTGGCATACTAAAGCTCTCAAGTATATGTATATAGATTCTGACGAGCTTTTTAGATAGAATATACAAAGCTTCATTCAATCTACAGAATCTCCTCCTGATCTTAGTGCTAGTAAGCACTACACGAGTGTATAGTAAAGCTAAGAACTACTAAAGAAAAGCGCTTTATGATCGATATTATAGCTATTCGGAAGTCATACGAAAAGCGAAAGCCTTTCAAAGTACGCTAGATCGATAAAAAATCTAACCTTGCTAACGCTATAATTCAAATCGAGGCTAATACCTCTTTGCAAAAGCTAGTTTTAACTAATACCTTAAAAGTACAAGTAAACGGATAAGTAGAAAGGCCGCTATAAAGAAGTTTAAAAGAGTAAGATTGTTTTTCTTTTATTTAATTACTTTCTTTTCTTTTTCGGTCGATATAATAGTTAGCAAAGCACTGCTTGCTAAAAAAAAAGTTGCCGGTATCGATATTTCTATATCGATCTTAGCTAGCTAATAGTAGTAGTTAAGGAAGCTCGCCCGTGAACTATAGTTCACGGGCCACTTAGCATGCCTCGCTTAGCATGTTAACAGTCAAAGGACTCTTAACTTAATAAGTAAGCTTATTAGTTAGCTAGTGCACGTGATTCCTTCTAATCCTATAAAAAGAATCAGCTCCTTTGAGTCTTAAGGAGCAGACAGAATTCAAATACCTTATCAACCGAGTGTTTTGCAATTGCAAGTACTTTGACGAACGTTACGACCTTACGAATATATTCCTAATCGCTTGGAAGCAATCTAACAATTTGCAACTATGCTTTTACGAAAAACCTTATCGGCCGACTTAGTTCTATTGTTTATAGCCGTTATTGCATTTATTAAAGCTATGCCGGCATCGACGACTTTTACGAAGAGCTATCGAATCGAAGTTAAAACGGATATAAAACGGAAAGTAAAATAACTTACGAAGATGCAAGTTAACTTGATAACATAGTAGCGCTCGCATTTAATAGAAGTGTCGAAAAAGAAGATATACCGATTCGTAGTATTATCGATAGTTTTGCTTGCGTAGCTTACGCACCGAAAATAAATCGAAAACATAATAATTAAAAAAAGTTAGTAGATAATAGTGCTAAAAGAAAGATAAAAGAGTAAAAGGTTAATATAAGAAAATAGTTGACTGTTTATAACAAGACCTCGAATATATACTACCGCTTTTGTTTTTTTTATTACGTTACTGTTTTAAGCTCCGCGCTACTACCGATTCGGCGGTGCGTTACCACTTGACCGCTTAAACCGGCGCACGCTTATCTTAACGACAATACTAACGCTTAAGTTGATATTGTTTTTATAATTAAATAAAAGTGCTATAAAAGATATAAAAAAGAGTTAGACCCGAGAGATTATCTTATATTTTCGTTGCTATTCTTATCTTCTTTATTATATTACATACGCTTCCGTACTAACACCGATCCGGCGGTACATTATTAAGTAGTACTTTAAAACCGTATTGCGACCGTACAATTCGGCTATATGCTCGTCTTGCAAACCCAACCTTACTAATTTAATAAGAAGTGACTTAAAAGCGAGTCTGATTCGAAAGAAAGACGTATGTAATAGAGTTAAAGCTCTGTTTTGTTTTGTTTATATATATAATATTAATGCTAAGCACCTTTGTTACGTAAGTGCGCTGCATGCTTTAGCTTTGCTAAGCACGTAATTAAGTCACGTGCAAGCTCTTATATAAACGAGTAGTTAGTTCTTCCTTAAACCAGCACCATATTATTACATAATATAACACACGTACTTACAACACACATTCGAGTGTCTTTCGATCGTCCTCTTTTTCCCCTTTTATTCACTTACGATTCTATTATAACTATATTCATATATATCTCTTGATTTGACGTTGGGTATATGTCGGAGCTCTTCCCTTCTACATTATCGAAAAGATCGCGAAGCTTTTATTAATATTCCGAGTTATTAATTAAGTCTTAAAAGCTAATCTAATCGTTTTTAATTTTATAGCACTTTAAATTCAAGCTTTTAAAGCTAAGTCTTTACTCGTAAACTACGGTTCACGGGCTAAACTTATTATAAAAAGCGACTTGCTGCTTTATAACGGCCGCTTATTAATTTTCGATGTTTAAAACTTGCGCTCTTTACTCGTTTAAAAAGTCTACGATTAAGTATTTACGGCATACTTTAACTTTCGCAAGATTTATAAGCTCTTTGCAGCATAATATTATTAGCACGGTATAGCTAGATTCGTTAATTAGTATTATCGCAATTGCTACGCTTATAAACGAGCTTTAATGCTTCGCGATAAAAAACTTAATTTGCTTTAATCTTTTTCGATTTTTTTACGCTTTTAAAAGCATATCACTATAAATTTTTATAGCTTTAATAAAGATAAATACGGCTACGATAACGTCTTTATAATAATCGATCGCTTTTTTAAGCAAGCAATCTTAATGTGACGACACGCCAGGTCTCCTGGACGCATCTTATATGCGCTAAGCTACTTTCTTCCTTTTTTCTTTCGTATTCTTCGTATTCTCTCATTCTCCGCTTTTGACTTATAAATTATAGTTTACGAGTCCTTAGCGCTTCTACCTTCGTGTATATAAACCTTAGCTACTTTCGACCTTTATATTCGATAATTATTGATTTTAAGTTATTACTTTAAGATTCTTTTAAGCTTTTATATAAACTTCCGCGCTTTCGTAAATTCTTTTAAATAATCGCTTAAGGTCGTTATATTATCAACAACTACTTTACTTCGCTAAGAACGGCTTTAATAATATTTTTTCTTTTTATAATTCTTTAATAATTAAACGTTAAAACACTTAAACGATTTTAACGGTTACGAAAAGGCTTATTTTAAATATAACTTAAAAGACAGCACTTATATAATATAGCAACCTTCGCTTCGCGAGCAAAATCCTTCGCACACTTTTTAAAGCTGCTTTAGCAGCTCTTTCTTCCTTTTCTACGGCTTAACCAATAGTTCTTTTTACTTAAGAAAAAGCTATTAATAAGCAAGACGATAAAGATGACCCTTCGGCTTTTATTAACCTCGAAGAAGCTTTAATCTAATACTAAGCTTTCTTTTAATCTTAACGAAAAGCAATTAAGCTTAAAAAGCTTTTCGCAAATATAAAAACCCGCAACGAAAAGCTCGATAAAAGCGCTAGCGAATAAAAAGCTTTCGTTAATAAAGTTAAAAAAAAGGCTCGTCGAGCTCGAAAAGAACTAGACTAGCTTTAAGCGGCCTTGCTAATTACAGAACGTTCGTTAAAGCTTTTTTAAGTATCTTTCGAAAATAATTTTAAAAGCAAAAAGCTATATAAGCTTTCGGTTTTTTAAACCACTTTTTTTACTTATAAAACCGTTAACCTTCGCCGCTTTTTCGCCGACGAAGATAAATTACTTTCTTTTTATAAGCTAATTAACTTTTGCACTTTAGCTAAATTTAATACTTTTAAAGCTTTTTCTTTAGCTTTTTAAGGTCGCGCTCGTATCGAGCGGATCTTTAATCTTAAACAAAAGCTTTTAAACGGTATAAGCTATCGAGCACGTTATTAGCAAGCCCGCGTCTTCGATAACTTAAAAGCTTTCGAAAAATACTTTTTTATAAAACGCTAACGCAAAAACTACGTTTTTAATTAAACCGAAAAAATAGCTTACTTATTTTTAGCTTTTTTAATTATAAATCGTAGCAACTTTATAACCGCTTCGAAACTCGTTTAAATCGCTTTCGAATTCTTAAACGATTCCGCTAAGAAAGCTAAAGCGTCAATTAAGTTCGAAAAACTTTATATAAAACTTAATTAATAATTTTAAAACTTTTATTTTGTTTTCTCGAAGCTTGCCGCTATCGTTAAAATCAAAGACGAAGATTAATTACGTAAAGCTTTGCGTTTTAAAATTATTAAAACGTTGCGCGATTAGCTTTATTTAGAATTTATTAAAATTATAACTTTTAAAGACTTTTAAACCGCCGTCTAACAATTAGCTGCCGGCTAATACGCGTTTGCAAAACTTTACGATGCTTTATAAGCTAAGTATAATATTTAATTCGCGAAAAGCTTTTATAATAAAGCTCGTAACGAATCTCGCTCGGCTTAAAAAGCAGCGGTCAAGCAAATCATTTATTACGAAAACCGTTAAAATAGCTTAGCTCTCGTCTCTTTCTCTACTTTTTAACGCTAAACCTTTAGTAGCTTTAGCGCTAATGCAAATCGATCTAATCGATCTAATAAATTCTTTTTTCTCGAAAACGCTTTTAAATTAGCGATTAAAACTTTTAAATCGTTCCGTAAAAACTCGAATACGCCGAAGCTCTTTCGCTATTACTTAATTAACGAAATAAAATACGGCTTTAAACTTAAATACGGCTTTTATTCGAATGACTCGGACGATAGACCTTACTTTAACGCTTTTAAAGATTATTAAAAGCTTTCTTTTATTAACTCCGACGCTCTCGATAATAAAGGAAACGTCGAAGTTTAAGCAAAGCCTCCTTTTTAAGCCAGCTTCGAGACATGCAATACTTCGACTTTACGAAGCTTTTTAATAATAAAGCTATAATTATACTCGTTACTTTTATTAAGAATAGCCTTTCGTATAAAGTATCTGCTTTACTCGATTTA